AAGATTCTCGTGTCCTTAAAGTGGGTCATTGTATGATATTGTAAAGGAAAATTAGACAATAATCACTCTTAGGGGTCCAAGAGTTAAAAGGCAGGGGATCATACTTCATGAGAATTCAAAGCTATTTGAACGAAACCTTAAGAGAAACTGGAGTTTAAGCAGCATTAGGGCAAATAATATGGGTTGTTAGGATTTCTCAGTTGAGGCTCAGAGGTGATTACATAAATTGATTGCCGCGTTACTGCTCAATTACCTGGTTCGCAAGACGCAAACAGAACATTATTCTCATTGTTAACAAGGTCGTCAAACTTGTCCACATGAATAACATTTTCCCGCTTTCCGTCGGCGATTTGTTTCAACTCATCGTCATTAATACTTGATCCTACACCAATAGCGATCATCCTCACATTCTTTTGCTGAGTGACGAATAAAAGAGGCCATTATTTTCGTACATACTTTCTTTCGATTGCTCTCAAAGCAATTGTTATCAACTATCTTTTTCAATCATGATGTACTAACTCCTTACCAACCAAGCGCGAAGGCCATACTGGAAAATGGTAGCCCGAGGTCGTGGCAGTATACAAACGACCGTCCGCCAATCTTGGTCAGTACGGCTTGAATAAGCGAGGTTAGTAAGCAATCTTGTACTAAGCGGTCATCCTGTATTATGCGCTCGGTTTTCAAATTCCCGAAATTTTTGTCGTTGTTTACTGTGATTTCTGCCTCTCTAAAGCGCATGAATGCGCTCACTTCTATTAAGCGGTCGTTGTTACCCATTTTTAATTTTTTTTTTTTCGCAAACTGGCTATGATGGCTGAAAGCTCGAACAAGTATATCGCTTTGGATAAAGCCATTGAAGATTACATTCGGGAACAGTAGAACAAAAATACTGTCAAAACCTGACGAGATGTAGGCCTACTTAGCGAGTTCCTCAAAGAGAAGAAAGAGGAAAGAACAGTTGAAGAAATCAAACCAGACGCCGCGTAAACAAGTATTTGTGTCATTTTGAAACTTTTTTTACTTATGAGGTTATTTGGAAATTCGAAAACTAATATCTAAACCTATGTTATTCCTGCATGTGGATATTTTTCAAATATTTGCTTTAACCTAGGATTTGGAAAAACTGACAAAATGCAAGTTCCTTAACTGAAAAAAAATATAACTGACGAGTATTCTGGCGAATGGAAAAGCAATTAAACACTATGAGCACACTGAAGCATTCAATTAGGGTTAACTTACCTTTAAAGGGGCAAGAACTTTGCTGTATGATTTACTTCCACGATTTGTTTTTCCGTCGGTCATCACAATCAACACGTTAGGTTTGTCATTACGGTATCCTCCAGAGTCGCTAAACAGTTGGGTATTAGCCAGTTCGATAGCTATGTCGGTTCGCGTCAAACCATGAGTGTAATGGATACCCTTTATCAGCCTGGTCATAGCATCTGGCGTCTGATATGCCACATCTGCGAATTTCACCGCTACCTCCGCATCAGAGTGGTAGGGGATGATTCCGATTCGAGTGCCGTGTGACGATATTTGAAGCTTGTGTACAAGCGATATGACGAACTGTTTGGCTTTTTCAAAGTTGTCTCCTCCTACGGAGCCAGAGCGGTCCATAATTACACCAATGTCCATCGGTCGTCTGCAGGATGAGGGTGCCCCAGGAACTGAGAAAAAAATGGCCAAGATCCTTTTATTCTCGATCTTGCAATCAAAATACAACTTTCATACCATGTGTACTTTGAATGTTCAATAGTTCTTTTCTCATCTTTTCGATGTTTCACCCAGTGACCAATTTTACATATTTCTTGAATTGCTTTTTTAATGCCTCAAGGATGGTTGCTAATTCTTCTATGACCTTACAAGCAATTTTATATTAAAAAAAAAATCATAAACAACTAATCGAAGCTGCCTATGTTTTTTGACAAGAAAAAAAAAAAAACTTTCGAACAACAACTCACATGTTTTCGTCGCACAATAGCGGAGATTACAAACAGGGGTTTTGAGCAACTGGTAGACGTGATACTCCCCGCAGTTTCTGACTTTGATGTTTACATTCCATTTACAGCAGTCGCCGCTCCAATGGAAGCAAACCTTTCTCGTAACAACACCCTGGTCCTCAGTTGGGTGATCCCCAGAAAGCCAACCAGGAGCATGTGTACCACAGCGGTGCGTCGGTACACAGGAGGTAGGCATGGCATTTCCTGCCGCGCCCATGAAGCGATGCCATTTGCCGACCGTAGGAAGGTTCCGCTGGTCGCAACTAATGGGTCCAATAGAGTATTCCATAGAACGACTTCCATGACTAATAACCACTGGATTTTTGCATTCAGGAGGAATATAAACTTGAGCAAATATCATAAGTGGCGGTGTTAGAAAGGCAAGCAAACATCCATAACTAGGTAAGATAAGGGTTTTTAGGCAAAGTAAACGTTTATTACTTGAAATAATTATACACCGCCTCTAAGGACACTTCCTTCCTTAAAAAAAGATCAGATTCACAAAAAAGGATATCACAGATTGACACGGCATCTGAAGGTAATTCTTCACACGAAAAATTAGGAAAGCCACGTACTCTGATCGCAGTTTTTTCCTGTGAATCTTTGAGCACAGGCACAGGTGTATCCTCCCCTGGTGTTCTGGCACCTTGCTCCATTCCTGCATGGCTTAAGACTTGCACACTCATCAACGTCTGAAAATCATAGCAAAAATTTACACCTGCATCAATAAAAATGATCATTAATCATTCAATTCCGCTGTTGCAATCCATCATATTAATGGAACTTTAACCATTCAGTGTTCAAAACGCTAAAAAGACCTATTCAGTTACAGATCTACCTGGTTAGATTGTATGTTCGGGCTCATAATAAGTGCCTTCAGGGTATAACGCGAATTTTGGCATGCATGCATTTACCTTTTTCGCAATTGGTTCCTTGAAATCCGCTCTTACATTGACACTGGTAGGTATCCACTCCCGTGTTTTTGCAGGTGCCTCCGTTCTGGCATGGTTTCTTGTCACAAGGATATACTGCAGAAAAATAGAATCATCACAACTGTAGCTGATTTCGAATTTGGTGTTTAGCTAAGGATCGTTATCCCCACTGGTCTCTCGTTATAAATATTACATGAAGCTTGCTTGTTGTTTGACAGTTTAGTTGGAAAATGAATGGAGTGTCCTCATGAAAAGGAAGGCCTTCTTCAGTCACTCTCCTTACCGCAATTGGCCCATTTTCCATCATAAACACGATCAAGTGAGCACCATAATCTGTTGTGTTTGTAGCTAGTGCAGGAGTTGTAAGTTTTGCCTCTGTATGTAAAAGGGAAAACACAGCAGCGGCCATCTTTATTGTCCGTCCTTTGTCGGCAGATCGCTATTGAAAAAACCAAAATAGCAAGAATCAAATATAGGAGACTTAGACTCAAAGCACACTTCTAGAATGTCACAGGGTAAGAGTGAAGTCAGTGACCTACAGTGGTTAATAAGCAAGTTCTCTTTAAAGTCGTAATACATTATGCAGCAAAACTGTGTTGAGAGTAGAGATAATCTTGATGTACTACCGAATACTCTCATTTAATTTAAAAGGAAAAGTATGGCAGGTAGAGGGGGGAGTTAGGAATAAGACCTGAGGACGATCCATGAACCCCACGCTGATTCGTCCTTATCGTAAGTTTGTCTTTTGCAATCGTCTTTGCTGATCCTGGCAGTATAGAGGACGCGTGTCTTATCTGAACCTAGTGGCTAAGCAGTAGAGTATTGGAGTGCTGGATCCGTACGTCTGAGACTCTATTCCTCGTCATATATCCTAAAGTTTCTCAAGTCAAACGCTGAACAATGGTTTTACATCACTTATATTACAAAAATCTTCATCAAGTGTTACCTTGTTCGCAGTTTCGTCCCTTATACCAAGCTGGACATGCGCACTGATAGTCCTCCACTCCAATTGGTTTACAAGTTCCTCCATTCAGACAAGGATTCTTGACAAGACATCTGTCTGTATGATCACCACATTTGTTTAATTAATAATGGTGATGGTTTGCGAGCTTTACACACATTTAAAAAGATTTCGATAATGACATACTAATTCTAACGGAATCGCAATGCAAGTCTGATGCTGAACGGTATTAGCAACGGAAATTAGAATACTTCTAAACTATTAATATGTACTTATACACACTTCATATTGTTAGCTTGTTTTTTCTTCTTGTTATAATCGGCTTCCTGCGACTGTTTTCCAATTTTTCGTRAAGGCCGCTTTGATTACTTTGGTTATGTTTCCTAACAGTCAATGGACCTGCCCTCCTAGATCAGAGGAAATGAACTTACTATGTCCTTTGTCTCCACAATAACGTAAGTAACATGCTGGTGTTCTTCTTAAATGATATACCAAGAAGTTCCCACAGTTACGGATACTAACAAACACGTGCCATGAACAAAGGTTATTGCCCCAATTGAAGCAAACCTTCCGCGAAACAACCCCATCCTCCTTCTTTGGATGTTGACCATTCAGCCAGCCTGGTGCATGGGTTCCACAATGATGTTTGGCTACAGGCGAAGTAGGCATCCTTGTTCCTGCAGCACCTGTGAAGCGGTACCACTTGGCTTGGGAAGGAAAGTCGTTTCTGTCACACTTCAACAACCTACCCCTTTGAGAACCAGAGGCACGATCGGCAGTGTTCAGCTCAGTGTAGCTAGAACATTCCGGGGGATCTAAAACAGGGAAGTANAAGTACTTCTAATAATATACCTTTAATTATAGTTAATTTATAGTCTACCGTTTTATACATGAGCCTCTAGCTCTGGCAATTGGGCAACCATGCCTCACGTTAGACAATAAACTTTGATTGATTGATTGATTGATTGATTGACATGACGCAAAGTGATTCTTGCTACCGAGCATTTTTACCTCGCAGATAGAAAATGATAATAGTGGGATCGACTGACAGTTTTATAATACAGGAGTGAGTTAACCTATCAAACTTCTAGTGGGTCGTACTTCGTCTATATTTATATCTAATAATGGTTGGACACCAGTCAGGTAAACATCCCTTCATCTAAAGAGAGAGACCTCCCTTTCCTGAAGGAGAATTAATGTAAAAGAAACTAATTTGAATATAAGGGATAAAATATGTTAACGTTTCAATCACTTTACCTTGGTCACAATTCTTCCCTGTAAACCACTTTCCTAAGCAAGTACATTTGTATCCACCGCGAGTGTTTTCACATTTTGCACCGTTTTTACAAGGTTTCTTGGAAATGCACTCATCCACATCTATGGAGTAAAAAGAAAGTTCGCTAAATCGTGCATTGATCACAACAAAAAAGAAAAGCTACAAACAAATGTTTATTTTAAAAAAAATCGGAGATTTTCACCTTCATCACAGTGTTTTCCTTTGAAGTTTTCAGGGCACTGGCAGCTGTAACCACCAACAGAGTTCACACAAGTGGCTCCATTTCTGCACGGATTGCGCACCTTGCACTCATTCACGTCTGCGTATAAAAGAAATGTCTTAAGGCGTAAGTTGACGTGGACAACTGTTATTTTAATCAAGTAGCCATGTTTTTTCAATGGCTATTCTAATTCAAAAATACTTTATTTTTGTCATGTAACGTGGGTAGAATAGGACCCTGGACTAAGGTGAAACTTACACACAAAAAAAATTCCCCTCGAACACTACATTTAATAGCGCAGTATAACAAATCAGTCGAACACTACGTTTAATAGCGCAGTATAACAAATCAGTCGAACACTACGTTTAATAGTGCAGTATAACAAATTAGTCGAACACTACGTTTAATAGTGCAGTATAACAAATCAGTCGAACACTACATTTAACAGTGCAGTATAACAAATCAGTAATCCAGTTTTGGTACAACGCTGTTTGAAGGCTTTGGCTATGAAGAGATAACTGGTAGAACAAGAGGGACTACGCCACTTAAGGTAAAGAAGCAATGGATTGTGTAAGTCATAATAGACAAAATACTATAAAGATGGCAGATCAGTAATTTCCTTACCCACGTCACAGTTCTTTCCAGTGAAAGCACTGCTGCACGCGCATGTATAGTCTCCGTGCTTATTGGTGCATTTTGCACCGTTCTTACACGGGTTCTTAGCACATTCATCCACATCTGAGGAAAAAGAATAATAATTAACCAATCACTCTTGCAAACTCTGAATAGCAATCTTAACTCCAATATACTAACTAAATTACTTTGTCCCTGGATTGGCCGCCCTCTGGCTAAAAATAGAGTATACTCTAATGTGATGGTAAGAAAGGAGAGGCTTAATGTGCGCATGCGGATGAGCAAAGAGGTTTTGGGGTGCACGGGGACTTCTTTTTGTAAATAAAATTGATCAGTCATTTATATAGGACAAAAATAACCCTTCTCTTCCCACTGAAATGTCTTTCCTATGTCTCCTTGAATATATTCATGATAACTACTCTCCCCATGAGATAAATACTTAAAGCCATCGGCATTCATACATTCATAGCTATGTCACTCAAGGGCGAAATCTCGAGTGTCATAATATCTGGATAGCTGGGGAGATAATAAATTTCACCATGTGATATCTCATTTGAATGGACGTTTGTAGCAGCTATCTGAGTTGGAAAGATCCGACCACGGAGCAAAACGACAACATAACGTCATCTACGCAATGGATGAATCTCATCCAAATTAGCAGAATGCATTGCACTTCTAAAAAAATGGTCCTTGATGTATTGCAACATTAACAAAATTGTCACTAATTTATTATTTTTTTTGGAAGGGGGGTAAGGGAATTTAAAGTAACTTATTAGACGTGAATCAAAATATTTTTATGTTTATGGTGTTGAGTGAGGGTTTTGGACTCCCTACCCAGACGAGGCATGTTTTCTACTTTTACCGATCATGGTAGGGGGGTGGTAAAGGGTATTTTCAAGATTCGTGAATGGCCTATATTTTTTCCCGTGAAACGTGAAATGACTTGTTTTTTTTTCTCGTGAATCGTGATTTCATTAGTAGCCATGAAGCATGATTTTCCAGAATAATTCTCCGTGAAATGAGAAAGAAGTATTTAATTCGTCGTGAACAGTGATTTTGATTGTAGTTTCGACAGTACTGTTATTTTCTGTGAATTGTGAAAGGACCAGTTTATTTCCCGTGAAACGCGATCTTAAGCTCCCCTTTGCCACCCCCATGGTAGCTCTTCAAGGAGTTTTTCTATCAGCTGGTGGAGCGTCAAACTGCAAGGTTGGATTTAGCTAGTGTTCGAGTTCTCACAGAAACCTTCATTCTATGCTTTTTACAACCTTACTTGTTTACCGATTTATAAGTAACATACAAGGTTAACCTTTATCGCAGAATTCTCCTTGGAAGTTGGCTGGGCATTGACATGTCTGACCATCACCGTTGGGTTGACAAGTTGCTCCATTCTTACACGGGTTGCGAGCTTTACACACATCTAAAAAGATTTCGATAATGATATGCTAATTCTAACAGAGTCGCAATGCAAGTCTGATGCTGAACGGTATTAGCAACGGAAATTAGAATACTTCTAAACTATTAATATGTACTTATCCACACTTCATATTGTTGGTTTGTTTTTTTTTTTTTTCCAGTCATAATTGGCTTCCTAAGACAGTTTTCCTTTTTTTCTAAGGCCGAATTGATTACTTTGGTTTTGTTTCATAACAGTCAATGGACCTGCCTCCTAGATCAGAGAAAGTGAACTTACTATGCCCTTTGTCTCCACAATAACGTAATGAACATGCTGGTGTCCTTCCTAAATGATATACCAAGAAGTTCCCACAGTTACGAATACTGACAAACACGTGCCATGAACAAAGGTTATTGCCCCAATTGAAGCAAACCTTCCGCGAAACAACCCCATCCTCCTTCTTTGGATGTTGACCATTCAGCCAGCCTGGTGCATGGGTTCCACAATGATGTTTGGCTACAGGCGAAGTAGGCATCCTTGTTCCTGCAGCACCTGTGAAGCGGTACCACTTGGCTTGGGAAGGAAAGTCGTTTCTGTCACACTTCAACAACCTACCCCTTTGAGAACCAGAGGCACGATCGGCAGTGTTCAGCTCAGTGTAGCTAGAACATTCCGGGGGATCTAAAACAGGGAAGTATTGTTTGAGAGGGTATTAAAGGAAGAGATAGTAAAGCAAATGAA